TTTTTGGCGGAACCGAGGATTGAACTCAGGCCCTTGCACTTGCCAGGGAAGCGCTTATTCCACTGAGCCATCTCCCTGGCCCCCCCTTTTTTTTTTTTTTTTTCCAGACAGGTTTTGAACTCACTATGTAGTCTGGGCTGGTCTTGAACTTGTGATGATCCTCCTGCTTCAGCCTCCTGAGTGCTGGGACTACAGGAGTTTGCCAACATTGCTGGCTTAAAGTTTCACGATTTGCTTTGCTTTCTTGCTTGCTTGCTTGCTTTTATTGTTAATACAATATGTTTTTTCTTTAGTACAGAGGATGAGTGCAGGGCCTTATGCTAGTCAAGTACTACTCTTCCACTGATCTACATGCCTAGCCCTTTTTAAATTTTATTTTGAGACAAGGTTTTGGTAAGTTGCCAAGGGTGCCACTGAACTTGTGATCCTCCTGCCTTAGCCTCCAAGTAACTGGAATGATAGGCATTGTCACCATGCTATGCAGTGCAGTCTTTTATGTGAGTGCATGTGTACATTTTCTCAAGTTACCTTTTTTTCCGTGCAGGGTCTTACTACGCAGCTCAAACTCGTAGAGATCCTCCTGTTTTCAGCCTCCCTAGTGCTAGGATTACAGGTGTGTGCCACCATGCCCAGACTCCATCGCTGGCTCAGTGTGCTCTGGGGTGGGGCCAGCATGGCATGTGGTGCGCCCCGTGCTTGCCTAAGCAAGCACCTAATGGGCTGAACTATCTTGCCGGCCTAGCTCATGTTTTTATATATACAACACAGGCGTACCATGTGTATATGTGTGTACATGTAGCTTTTATTAGATTGTCCAAAATGTTAATGGTGTAGAAAAGTAAAGGCCCCACAAACTGCATGCAACGGCATTCTCACTTTCCTCTCTGGCCTACCCTGTAGCAGCTGCGTCGGTATAATGGTGCTACCCGGGTATTGTTCTCGTCCTCTAATTCTCTGCCTTTAACTGGCGTACTGTTGTCTGTTGAGCCATCTGCTTTCTCTCATTGTTGTTTTAGAAATCTATCTTAAGTTCTTTGTTCTTTTCCCTTTTGCTCCCGTCCCTCTTTGTAGTTTGTGTACGTCCTCAACTCAGTTCTCTCTGATGATAACTACTCCCCAAGCAGCTTCTCCGGTTCTGAATTGTCTTCTAGTCACTCTCCAAATCCAGGGACCTGCCAGGCATTTCTTTTACACAGCAACACATACAAACACCTAGGGTTTTGATAACGATGTTTATAAAAGTAATAATGCAATTTTATTATCTTTATCAACAGCATAATAAAAAAATGCTTTTATTGAGCAAAGAATTTTTCAACCTTTGCAATACTGACATTTTGGGCCCTTAGTTACTTATTGTGGGAGCCATCTTATGCATTTTATGATGTTTGGCAGCATCCCTAGCCTCTGCCTAGTAGATGACGTTGACATCCCTTCCCTAGTTGTGACAAAGAAAAGTATCTCCAGACATTACTGAATGACCCCTGAGGAGAATGGGGAAAATCATTCCCACATACCAACTGATGTAGCATCTACATATTAGTGGGCATTATTTTCAGTAGTGAAAGTCTTGTTCTTCTAAGACTGGCTTAAAATCTTCCTTCTTGGGCCAGGGAGATGGCTCAGTGGAATAAGCGCTTCCCTGGCAAGTGCAAGGGCCTGAGTTCAATCCCCCGGTCCGCAAAAAAAAAAAAAAAAAGTCCTTCACTCCAAAGTCTTCCTCCTCTTTGAAACCCCTGGCTAATCCAGAGAATTACCTTTTTTCCTTTAAGTATGACTGATACCACTAAATTGTAGACATTTAATATGACTTATGTATTTACTGTATTTTTAAATTTTTTTTGGTGGAACTAGGGATCGAACTCAGACCCTTGCACTTGCCAGGGAAGCGCTTATTCCACTGAGCCATCTTCCTGGCCCTATTTACTTTAAATATATTTTTCCATCTCTCATTTGGCTTATTTCCCCAAAGACTTGATATATCTGCAGTCCTTTGTTTCCTGCCTTGCCCTGGTAGCCATGTAGTGTACGTCGCTGAGGAGGGCAGAGGTGGTAAGGACATGAGCTCTGCGCTGCTCCCTGCTTAGCTGCACTGGTAGCCGTGCGTCCTCCGACAGTTCATGGGGTAGTTACAGATTCCTCACCTGAAACACAGCAGGTAATTGCACAGGTAGTTTTTTTTTTTTTTTTTGGCGGAACCGGGGATTGAACTCAGGCCCTTGCACTTGCCAGGGAAGCACTTATTCCACTGAGCTATCTCCCTGGCCTCTTGCACAGGTAGTTGTGAGGAAAAACAAGATAATGGACACAAAGAACTTGGAGTAAGATTATGTACTTACTGACTGGCGGGTGTTTTTGCCAGTAAGATGATTTAGTGATCAGGCTGACCAGGAGGTTTTCTTGGAAGAGAGTCAAACTCTCAATTTCGTTTTTTCTCAGGTTAGAAAAAAAATATTTAGTATGGATTCTATAGCTTTCAGGTGGGAAGTTTACAAAAGTGGTATTTATAAACGTAGCTAATGCTCTTGTTTCTCCTTCAACCTAGGCTTCCTCTGAAGGATCCAGAGTTCTCCTGACTTCCGCCTGGAATTTTGTGGGCCAGGTGTCGTTTCTACTCAGAGTGAAGCCTGGACTTGCAGCTTGCTTGCTGCTGTTGAACTGAGAAAGCCAACTAATCCCCTCACCCGACTGATAACCTCTAATCCTACTCACGGGATGGCTTTGTAAGCCTTCAGAGAGACTACTAGGGCTGCTCTGTTTCTATTTTTTAATATTATGGGGAAACCACTAATCAGCCAACAGCATACACAGTACAGTAGGTGGGCAGAACGGGGGCTTCTGGGGGCTCATTCAGTATTTTTAGGCCAGTTCTGTTTCTAAAAGTACAAAATTTTGTGCTCAACTGATATTTTAAAGAAAGTACTGTCGATTCTAGTATGTCGATATTTTTTAACTGATATTTTTGACTTTTCTCATGTTTTGATTGTGTTGTTGTTTATTTGTTTTAAAATCCATTTTAGGGGCCAGGGAGATGGTTCAGTAGAATAAGCACTTCCCTGGCAAGCGCAAGGGCCTGAGTTCAATCCCCAGTCCATGTCCCCCCCCCACAAAAAAAAAAATCTGTTTTAGAGGGATTGGTGATTGAAATGGGCTGTACGCTAGAAACTTCCATCCTTTTTCACCTTAAGGTTTGGGAAAGTTCTTTATCTCATAAGGCCATTTTCTTTAGCATCTTATTTGTCTTCAAAGAATTTATAGTGTCCTAGGCAATTTAAAATTATCTTTTTGGTGCCAAGATTGCAGAGTATTTGACCTCCGGTGTCAAAAAACAATTCAGAACAGTATTTTAGCAAATTTCAGGTATTATTATTAAATTATTTTCCTCCCTCTGTTCATCCTTCCCCTCTTCTCTAAAACTTTCCTTTTCCTTAGTGATGTGACAAACTGTGTGGTTGCTGAAGTTGTTTTCTTCCCTAGAATCCTCTCACCTACAGCATCCCTGGTGCAAAGTGAATACTTGTGTGCCAGGTTACTGTGACTCATGACATCCCAGATTTCAGCCTCATAAAGGTTTGCTGAAATCTGTATTTGTGAGAGGCTCTGGAGTGTGTCTGGAGGGGCTGGCTGACTGGGCAGATTCTGCTGCCCTTCCCAGGCGTCAGGTGTGCAGCTAGACCGTCTCCCGAGACAGGTTGAAACTGGAGGAGAGGAGTGGGTGGGTGGGCTCTGCAGGGCCCGTAGGGCTAAAGGAGAGCGCCTTTACTTGGAAGCCAAGGTGGCTTACCACCATTGCCCTAGAGCAGTTGCTCCAGTGCCTTGCCCTCGTCAGAACGGGCACAGGTAGCAAGCAATAGGGAGATGCGGCGACAGTGCTTGGCTTTTGGGTTGGGCCCGTCCCCACAGGTTGGAGGGGAGCAGTGGCACAGTGTTGACGTTATCTGAAGCGTTCACTGCTCGGAGTAGTGTGTGGCAGAGGAAAATGTGGCTCGCCCTGGTCTGCTAAGCTGTGTACCATTCTTACCCTGAGTGGGAGCTGAGTCAGGCCCACTGTGGGGAAGGTGCCTAGCAAAGTATTGTTTGCTGAGCTGTCTTTATAAACAACTGAAAATGCTGCATTATTGCTGAAATGATAGATGACCGGAACAGCCGAGTTTGGCTTTGTGTCGGAGTCAGCCCTCTCTTCTATACTATACTGTTTCTTTTGCTACTGTTAGCCCATTTGTGAAGAAAATGTAAAATTTGGCCTTCCAACATGATGAATTGGGGCAATAAATGTATACATGTATAAAACTGCTTAGGAGCCCCTTACTCTGCAGCAGTCTTAGGCCATTCTTTACAATATTCACTAGTAAACTCATACGACTTTTTCTTCTTATTAGGAAAAATACATTTTCTTGTATCAGGTAACAGCGAATTCAGACAGAGAGCCCCTTTGGTATCACTAAATCAAAGTAGTGTTCTCCCTTAACTCAGTCCTTCTTTATTCATTTAAGTCTGTTTTATCCTGGAGAGGCGTGGTGGTCTCTTATGTGTGGCCTGCTGTCAGGTAGAGGGAGCGGAATAGGGACTCAGTGGCTGCTTGTCATCCAGTCAGCTGTGCGCTGGTGAGAGGTGCCTGGGACTTCGGCGGCGCCAAGGGGTCAGCCCTGCGGGCAGTGTTCGGGCGAGGTGTGAGAGAAGGGTTTCCCACGTGCACACGCGCGGGCGGTTTATGCGTGTTTGTGGGTATGTGTGTTTGTTTATTTATTGAATATGTGGTGGCCCTTGTTTTAAGGGTGTTATAGGTCATTTTTCTTATACAAGCTGTGATCCAGTTGGAAACCAAATCTGAAGAATAAGCAGCAAAATTTTGTCTTCTAATCTGTAACTGTTCTAATCCCGTGAAATCTTACGATCAACTTTAAAAAACAACCTTTTTTGTTTCACAAAAGGTTACTATCTTCATTCTGACTTAGTAGTTAGGTATTTTTGAGCCAGTATTTAATTTTTTTAACCTATAAGATGTTTAAAAAACCATTTTGTTGTGTTTATTTTTCATAAGGGAACAGTCTCTTTGGAAGTGCCTCTTACAGTCTTTAAAGCTTCATTCTTTTCTGGGGTCATTGCCATGGGTTTTGCTGTGGTGTCAATTTAGGGCACTGTATTTGTGCCAGAGGAACACAGCATAAAAACACAGCCCACTTCCTTGGTTCAGATCTGTTTGGGTGATCGACTTTCGCATCTGGGACTGACGACTCTTGTTTGAAAAACCCCAGTGTAGCAGTGCAAGAGGGGAGGAGATGGTGGTTATACCTGAGTGCCAGAACATAGCAGAGGGGAGGTGATGAATCGGAACTGCACCACAGCTCATCCTGCACGAAGGACAGCTCTTCACCCTGAGTGTCCTTCCAGGGTCAGTCCAGAATGACGAGGGGGACACCCTTGGGAAGTCTAGAGTGGTGGATGGTGTGACCATTGGCTGTGCTAGAGGTGACCGTTCTGTTGGTCCGAGGAAGCCATTGGATCCTGGTGTCAGAGCAAAGCCATTCTTTCCTCCTGAGTGGGAATCTTTCTGTTCAGCTTCCCTCCTGGAACCTCTGGTAGCATACGGTTTAAAGTACTGCATTCTAGGGGAACTCGTGGTCACTAGGACTGTGCCGTAGTGACTGGCTGTGTGACCGTGCAGCGGGAGGCTGTCTTGGGGATGGCCGTCTCTCAGCTTCGTCCCCTCCCATTCATTCTGCTGGCCTCCCAAGGGCTGGAAGGTGCTGGCGCCCATTCTGAGGCCACTTCTGTGTAGGTCTACTTTTCTCAAGAGAGCCTTGTCCTCTCCTTCCTCTACTCTGAAGGGTTTGCACTGAAGACAGGGCCTAGTCTAAACCTGGAAGCCCGCAGAACTCCCAAGATTTGGGAAAAATTTAGGCCCTAAGATGTAAAGCTTTAAAAAATTTTTATTTTAATTTTTGACGCAAAGCTTTTGAATGCAGTGGTAATTAGCCAGTGGCAAACTCACTGTGGAAAGCTGGATTTACTAAGCAAAATGCTGAGATCAGGGTAGAGTTGTTGGAGGCAGATTAGTGAGGAGGTAGAGTACAGATAGCTGGAGTGCTTGAGTTACCATGGAAACGAGTGTGTAAGACCACAGCTCATGCTAAAGAGCCCTTGAGCACGCCTCTGACATGTTTAGGGGCCAGAACATCCTGTCAGGAAAAAAATGCTCTCAGCCCAGGGAGCCTTTCTTCAGAGCAAAGTTTGCTCTTGCCCTGTCCCTGAGCTCACTGGAAAACCTAACCAGGTTGCTTAAGAGGTCTTACCATTTTTTTATTTTTCATTCTTATTTGACTGTATATAATGTATGTGTGTGTAATTATAAAGAAACATATGTATTGTTTTATATTGTAATGTTCTGAAATTAAATTTCTTTTGTTTCATACCCATAGGCATTGACTGGCCTCTTGTACATATATATATATCTGTATTATACTGGGGATCGAACTCAGAACCTTGTTCTTGCCAGGCTGGCACTGCACTGCTGAGCTATATCCCTGACCCTTTTGTTTACGTTTTCATGGATGGATTTTTTTATTTTTTCTTATTTTTAATTGTATTCATTTATTTTTTGTGGCTGTCTCAGCCCACCCTGGGGGCGGGGCTGGCATGGCATATGGTGCCAGGGATGGAGCCGAGGTCCCTGCGCGCTTTCCTAAGCTTGCCTCAGCAGGTGTGTTAGACCACTGAGCTGTGTGCCCGCCCTGGATGGATTATTTTAAAGAGAAATTGCCTCTCGTTCTGAGCAATGGGAGGCTCTTAGGAAGACTCCTTTTGACTTGTCTTCCAGCTGGGTGGTGGGGACAGTCAGCAGGTGGACGGCTTTGGGTGGTGAGTGAGATCCAACCTGCTGGGCTCCTAGCTTCCTGATTCCCTGTGGCTGAGTCTTGAATGAGAACCACTGATCTTAGCTACTCAGGTAACCTTTTGTCTCTGCAATTAAATGTGAGGAAGGAGCTGGGTGTACTGGTGCATGCCCATAGTCCCAGCTATTTGGGAAGGTAAGGAAGGAGGATTGCAAGTTCAAGGCCCACTAGGGCAACTAGCAACTAGACCTTGTCTCAAAATATGAAAGGAGTGCCCCTGTACTTGCTTAGCATGTGTCAGTTCCTGGGTTCAAGCCCTAGTACTACAAAAATAGAAAAGTAGCAGGGATGGGGAGATGACAGATACAGTACAAGTTAGGTGATATTTTAATTAGAGAATGGAAGGGGCAGTATTTAGATAAACCTTAATTGTTCCTGCTCCTTTCTTAGTCCTTCCAGGTTGCTGTAGCAAAATCCCATAGACTTCTAAACACCGAGTCTTGGGTGCAGTGGTGGGTGTGTAGTCTGAGCTGCTTGGGGCTGAGGTAAGATGCTCACCTGCGCCCAAGAGTTCAAGACCAGCCTGCACCATGTAATGAGTGCCCTTCCCGCAAAGCAAGGCAAAGAAAAACCACAAGCCCACACATTTCTCGCTCATGATCTGGAGGCTACGAGGTCTGAGTTGAAGGAACAGCAAGCTTGCTGTCTGATGAGGCCTACATCCAGGGTCACACACTGTCGCCTTTTCCCTGTGACCTCACAAGGTGGAAGGGATAAAGGGTCTCTTTTATAAAGGAACCCTCTGCCACAGCTTCCACCTTCAAATACCCTCCCATTGAAGATTGGCTTTCATTATGAGTTTAGGGAAGCACAAATACTAGGTCTACTGCAGCTTCTACCTATGTCTGAACCTCTGTGTTCCCTCGTTTACACCGTGGGGACAGTGGTGTCCAGCTCAGCAAGGTCATGCCTAGCACCGAGGTTGTAGTCAGGGGTCTGTGGTTATGATTCAGGAAACCATTTGCCCTGTAGTTCTATTTATTTATTTATTTATTTATTTATTTATTTATTTTATTTTATTTTTTTTTCCGGAGCTGGGGATTGAACTCAGACCCTTGTGCTTGCCAGGCAAGCGCTTATTCTACTGAGCCATCTCCCTGGCCCTGCCCTGTAGTTCTGTGTGAAACTTTCCATCCATTTGCAGCTTTGTAGGGGAGAGATTTCATACCTTCCACAAGAATCCAGCCGAGTCCTTGACCACTGAAATACCAAGAGCCACCACCTTGCTTTCCGTGTGGCAGATGGCAAGTATGCATTAAATGCGAATTCTTTCTCTCTGTCAAGGATTAATTTTATAATCAGCAGATTATTCATGCTGATTTTTTTTGTATTTTTAGGGAAGGGTCTACAGGGGGTTCAGGGTCTCACTACTAGATCGGACTCTGGTGATTTGCCTGTTTACAGTCTCCCAAGAGCTGGGATCATAGGTGTGCGCCACCACACCCAGTCTTGATAACAAAGGAGCTACTTAAATTCCGAATAGAAGGAAAAACTGTCTTTATTCTTCTAACCCCCCTTGTGGGTATTTTTTGTTGTTTTTTGAGACAGGGCTGCACTATGGCGTTGAGCTCCCTGTGTCGCCCAGGCTGGCCTCACGCGCAGCAGTCCTCCTGCCTCAGGCTCCTCAGTGGGGGACTGCAGGCATGCACCCCCAGGCCCGCGCTTTGTGTCCTTCAGCCAGGTTAGCTGGGTGGGTGCCTCTCAGAGCTGCCTGTCTCCTTCCGTCTCCCAAGGATCACAGGGATTAGGTGCTGTACAGAAGCCAGGTCTCTTTCTTGAAAGTGAACCTTGGAGAGACAATGGGCCATTCTGAAGGAGAACAAAAAAAAATAGAGGTGGCAGGAATTTTGGAAAAGAGGAGGAGAACATAATCTTTAATCACTGAATTGAGGAAAGTAATGAAGTGGTGGAGATGCATTAAACATTGGGAAAAGAAGACAAGGCAACAGCCAAGTGGGCACAACTTCTGCCTCGGTCGCCCCTGCTCCTGGCCTACTTCCATTGCGGCGGGCCCCCTGGTGGCCTGGCCCCCTCTCTTCCTGCCTTCCTGAGTGGGAGGAGGGAGCCTGAATGATGAAGGGTGAACCCCAGCCTTAGCTGTCGTGTAGGGAGGTCATGCTTGCTTAGATGCTTTAAGGCCCAGCCTCTTGTGTTCCCTAACAAAAGTGAGAATAAAAATCAAGAGCTGAGGGCCGGCCTGAGAGCTCAGTGGACTAAAGCACCTGCTTTGACAGAGCGCAGCGGCGGGGGTTCGATCCCTGGTGGGCTGTGCCGGCCCCGCCCGTGGGAAGCTGAGAAGGAGATTGAGACTGGGCATGGTGGTGCGCACCTGTCATCCCAGCGCTTGGGAGGCTGAAAACAGGAGAATCACTATGAGTCTGATCTAGATCTACATAGTGGCACCCTGAACACCCTGTAAACCCTGCCCTAAATACAGGGAAAAAAATCAAGAGTTGAGCAGGGGCCAGGTCTTGATTCAGTTTGACCCTTGTCATCCTGCTCTTTATCAGCAGCACTTACGGCCCAGGTTCTCTACCCTGGAATCAGGGCTAGCGTGAGTGGGAGGGGTGGTGCTGCCGTTGCTAGCTTTCCTTTTGGATTCCCCCAAATAAGTTGTTCTTATTTTTGGTGCTTTGAAAATTGAGGAATGCTTAATTCAGTTGAACCATAGCCTTGGGGAAAAGACAAAGGAAACCAGCAGTCAGAAAACTGAACGTGAGGAGCTGCGCATGCTGAGGCAGGCCTGTCATCCCAGCACTGGGGCTGAGGCGGGAGGATTGCCATGAGCTGGAGGTCAGCCTGGACTCCATAGCTCAGGGCCGCCCTGAGCTACATGGCGAAACCCTGTCTCACCCCTCAACGCCCCCCCAAGCCAAAAACTCGAACCCAAGGGACAGAGAATTCAAAGACGTGGAGCCAGCGGGACGGAAGCGAGCTGTAGTTCAGATGCACAAGATACATGTTTTCCAGCCTCGCCCATGTGCCAGTGTGCCGTGGCTCGGGCCCCCAACTCCTGGCCCAGCAAGTCAAGCCAAAGGCTGTGCCTGGGGGCACTGCATTGGTTTAGCATCATGTTTTCATGATCTACACCCACTGGCTGTGGCTCAGAGGAGAAAACTGGTCTTCAAGGGGAAAATGCTGGTGGTCTGTCTGTCCATATGTGTGTATCGTTAATGAGGAGCACGTCTGGAGAGTGCGTCCTTTGATGATTTTGCTCTTCTGTGGGCCTCACGGAGTACTGCGACAAGCCTGGATGGCCACGGGAGTCACCTGACTACCCTCCCACACTATCAAAGATGAGGTGAGCCGGCGAAGCGAGAGCTGCTGCCAACGTGACGCGAGCGCTGCTTCCCAGCAAATGTGCTAAAATAATGATGGACACGTAAACCAGAAACCCAGCTGCTTGTTGTTACTCTCAAGTGTCGGAGCGTTCATGTTCCTCCTTATGTAAGTGGCGGCAAGGTGGGCTGGTTCACACCAGCGTCAACACGCCCATGTGACTAACGCACTGCTCCAAGTGTGTGTAATCGACATAAAACCAAAGTGTAAACAGTATAAATCAGTACATATTTTACATCCTCTCGTAAATCTTTGAGATCCAGTATATATTTTACGCCTCTGGCTCGTCCAGGTTCAGAGAGGCCACAGTTCATCTTAGGTCTCAGAAGCCGCAGGTTGCTAGCCCTGGGACAGGCCTGCCTCGGAGAGAAGGTTCAGCCCCATGTGCCTGTAATTATGACTTTTGTCACAAGATGGCGCAAGTGACCTTTCCCCTTCCTGGATCAGGCACCAGGTGATCAAAGTGTGGTGGCGAAAACTTCTGTCTTCAATTTGCTTAAATTTCAGTTATGAGTTTTTTTTTTTTCTTTTTTGTGATGATAAAAATTATTTAAAATAAGTATGTGGCAATGGTTGCACAATTATATAAATAAAAACACGTGTGCTTTAAATGGGTGAATGTCATAGTATGGGAATTGTATTGATTAATAAAACTGTTAAACCCCTTAAAATACAGGGCGGGGGGTATAGCTCATTGGCATAAGTGCCTGCCTGTAAAGCACAAGGCTCTGAGCTTAATTCCCAGTACCAAAAATAAATAAATAAATAAATAAATAAATAAATAAATTACATACAAACATACATTTCAGACAGAATTGAGCTTGAAAGGTTCCCAACCATTAAAAACTTACTCTAGAAATAAACACAAACAGCCAGGTCTTCATGGGTCTGGTACTAGCCACGTAACAGAGTCCTACAAGCTAAGGTCCACGTAGGATGCACTACTTATTAAAAGATA